CTCTAGAACGGTGTTCCAGGGGCGAAAAAATATGATAATTTAGGGGTTTCAAAGGGTTATTTAATCGAGTTTGTGGTTCTTCTCCCCGGCGGGAAGTGGGCGGGGGGGGCATCTTCGGTCCCCCACCCCTTGGCGCTCCCGCCTAGCTTGTCTTGTTTGGTCCCGGTTAGTGGATAAACAGAACAGAATGATGTTTCTGATCCAACACCATATTTATTGCTGAACTCTAAAACCGATAACTGTATTTATTTACATTCCGATCACGTACAACATATTTCAAGGTTAAATTGTATATTGTAGTGATTCATGTCGAAAGTATTTCATTCTATTCGGTATCTAACCTTGGCGAACCTGTCATTTTTCGATGATTCATTCCTTTCTCAGTTTTCCCCTCGCTCTAGCCTAGTGCCTACGCGCATTCCGCGCTCAGAGAATTGTTGGTAAAACCGTGGTCTGTGGAGGTTACAGTAGACTCTCAAATGTTTATGAACTTTAAATCGATTTACTCTTCAAAGATATAGGCCTACTTATTTTGTGATGTTATGATATTGTATGGTTGGAATAATGTTGGTGGCCTAGGCTCAGCGGAAAAACACGGAAAGGACCGGTGACAAAAGCCTGCTTCTGGAACCATCAGACCATGGAGGTATTAAATTAGATCAGACTAGGCACCTTAGACATTTTTCGAATTTCAGTTGGCTATGTCAGTTGGCTACGGTTAGTTACTTTTTAAGTTCAGAATTTTCATTCTTTTTGCTGAAGTAAATTGTTAGTTTTATGATCGACACAAAATGTAAAACGTCAAAATATGATTATTTTTTAGTAGGTAGGTCACTAACACAAGTGGAAGGGCCTAAATTCACGTGGCTGATTCATTAGTGTTTTATATATTCATGTACACTATTAATCTTACCATCTTAAATTCCAAGCTCGATGAATGAATATGTTTTGCAATTAAACAATAATGTAAAGAGGTATGATATTTTATTGTAATAATTACGTCAGAATACAAATACAGCAACCATATGGCTTGCTACGGTTTCCATAACAAAAAATCGATTGTTCTGTGTGATTATAGGGAATCCCTTCCGTTCACGCAGAATGACTCACACCGCGTCGCTTTGTTTTGGTTTATTGAGTATGTATAGGAGGGGCTCCCTCTATTTAGTTATGGGCGTTCCTCGGATATAAAACCAATTTCAGATTGTAAGCTATCACAAATATAACATTTTTGGTTCAGAAGAAGCGGAGTCATAGCCAGGTATGAAATATTTAATTTTTTATATAAAATTAATGTTTGTTTTCGCGAACGAAGCTTGGTTGCCGGGTATGCCTATCGGTGGTACTATTACTCCCGGTCGGTCATGCGCGATAGTAGATCTAAGCACCCATCTGAGCTATTGGGTACCTCGGCATCATAGCAGCGATGCAGCCCCTTCGTTTCTGCATTGCTTTGCATTGCTGTGAGAATATTTAGCACCGAGAGAGGGTGGGGTTGGCGTAAGAACTTCCCCAGGGCCCGAGGTAAAAATGTGTAGGTCCTAGTTTTCTGCAGATCTAATTTCTATCGTTTAAATTAAGCATCCAACTAAATACTTAAGGCTGTAGTTTTCAGTGGACCCCAACCCCCGGGCCTTTGTCAGCCACGGATCCCATCATAGTGGCTCGATTATCATACGTCCTATGCTGACCCAAAGCCACTTCTAGTGACCCTCTATTGTGCCTATCCGATAGGCATATTCGTGATGGCCGCTACTACTAGGTCCATTCTGTTTGCAAAGTGGCTCACATACCTCAATATATGCCATCAAGATACATCCATTATTTCAGAAATGTATTAACTACCGGCTAGCCAATGGTCATTTTATTTATTTTCTAAATAATATTACAAAATTATTAATTACTATTATTAATCTTGTTATTATTAGGGCTTATATAGACAAATAAAATTGATAATCATAAATGTAGAAAATGTAAAACGATAGACCTACACATAGGTGGGTAATCACATAGAATGATATTTATAAAGTTCGCAAGTGTAGTACAATGTACCGGTACGACTTGAGCAGAAGTAGGTCTACGATTTCCAAAATGAGTTTTGATATGTTTTTTATGTTTACCAACTTGTCTCAGTAAAACCGTGGTCGGTTATGTGCATTACAACGCGTTTGTCAGGGGGAATCTCAAAATGTGGGTCCTCAATTCTAAATTGGTAGCATTTTCCATATTTTGGGGATTACAGAATGATAAAAGGTTACAGCAATACTTCCTTATTATCTATTATATTCTTTCTTATTTTATTGCTGTCATCGTTTTCAAATAAATTACATTTACTGGTACTGTATTATCTGCAAATACCGTTATTAACAACCATAAACTTTGGCTGCAGTAAACTTTAGAAACGACCTGCTTACACTAATTTCGTAAGCCGGTAGTGTAGGCTAGACCAGTTGAGTTTTTGTTTCACAGAACCGGGTACGGAACGCGCGAAGCAGTAACAGTATCCTTTTAGTTTACCACATCGAGGGGTGTCCCGGAAATAAATTCATAATCGGGCCTAACCAGGACGATCATCTATACTTCAATCATGATGAACGTCTATGTAACAAAATACAAATGCAAATTAATAGTTGGACACAGTGTGGCTCCAACAAATTGCCGACAGAATGTTCAACCCCGGTTCGACAAATTTCTAGTGGGTCCGTACTAGGGCTCGATCAGCACACCAGAATAAAATCCCTTAGAGATTTTGTGGTTCATCTATTATTAGGGAATCACAATAACTTTTTTTTTTTTTTTTTTTTTTTTTTTTTGGCAAATTATATTTTTTTTTTTTTTTTTTTTTGGCAAATTCATATTTTCAGTCGAACGATTTCGTACACTTGGAAAAATATAAAATGCACATGGAGTAGGCACTTAACCCTACTCTCAATGGACCCCAGTAGGCCTAATGAAAGACTAGGGTGCCTATGCTGATTGTTATGTAATTAACTTAACTAAGTACAGGCCTCACTATAATCATCTTATCATCGATCATCATCATTATGTTTATTATTATTATTATTAATATTATAACAGTGTTTAACCTGTGATGAGCTAATTTTCGTCATCATCAATATTATTATCAAATTATCATTACTATTATCGTTAACCCAAATCTCTGACCTCATAATAAACGTTCTGTAAACATTCACAAAATTATAGACGATTCACCTACTTACTGATATTTTTAACCGTTCTCGTATTCGTTCACGTGTCCCTCGCACTAACCTACTTCCAATTCTATAGGCCTACATAGGCCTCTATGAATAGATGGTAATATAAAACCGATGTAATGTGTTTAATAATAGCTGTGTTAAAAAAGAATGTACTCTGGAATAGATTCATACGATATCAATCATTTGATATTTGTTTTATGTATTTACAGCATAATTGTATTTATTCAGTAAAGTCTAGTGTAAAAATAAGATTGTTTAAAACCGTCCCAGGGCATGCACTGGAGCACTTCATTTGCGTCACGTCACGTGATATCTGCTGATTCTTTGATGACGTATTATATTTACGTTCTGTAACATGTATTGTGTGATACACAATGATATTGTTTGCAATCAAGTCAGGCATAAAGTAAAATAAATAAACCCCTGACGCTATGGATACGCTTCATCGATTATATTCTACAAGTCTGTCTGTGATATGTAGGTAAAAGTGTAACATTATTGTTCAGGGTAGTGAAAACAAAATATTAAGCCTAACAAAGTTGTTTCGTCACGAGAACAATATTGTCAGACCTCTGTGCACCTTTTTAAAAATCAATACAGTGTTGGATTCAAGGGGGCAGGGGAACATATTTGTTTTTAACTTAGCCAATAAAAAAAATGGATGAAAATTATATTATCATTTCCGGACATATAGAGGTTCCATAAACATCATGGCTTAGGTTGTCTAGACCCTTCATCTGTGAAAGTCCCAGCAGCACAAATATACGTTCGATTAAATTTCGTGCAGTGCCATAGCATTATAGTTTTCTCTATTCTATTATCATTAGCCTTTCATCATCAATCATCATCGTCATCTTATCATCGATCATCATCATTATGTTGTTTATTATTATTATTATTATTATTATTATTATTATTATTATTATTGTAACAGTGTTTAACCTGTGATGAGCTATTTTTGTCATCTTCTTATCATCAACATTATTATTATTATTATTATTATTATTATTATTATTATTATTATTATTATTATTATTATTATTATTATTATTATTATTATCACCATCATCATCTAGAGGTTCCATAAACATCAAGACCCTTCTTCTGTAAAAGTCCCAGCATCACAAATATACAAAAATATTGGTGTATTTAGAAGCATGTGACTGGCCTGATGCGCCGCAGTTGGCCTACTGTACAGATTACTTAGGCCCACATTTGTCAATCTGAGCCTATCGCTATATGTCTATATCTCTCCCAGCCTATTGTTTCCAATCATGCTTGCATGAAATTCTCACTTTATACCATCTAGCTTCTTCTACCCTCACTCACTCGCCACTGAGGAAGGACTAGTGTCTGTCTCTTATACACATCTAGATGTGTATAAGAGACAGCTTATCTTTAAGGAAGTTGGGCTGTCTCTTATACACATCTAGATGTGTATAATCAAGCAGCCACATACAGTGAAGTATAGATGTTTGTTTTTATTATACACCCTCTATATATACAGTACTGTACAAGTGTGCAAAATCAAAATAGAACATTTTAAGCCTGAAATTGGCCAAAAGTAGGTTTGGGTATCATACGATATATTTTGATATGCCTTTGGTCCGCGATCATTTATTTGATCATGGAAATTAATAATTTGGTCATCAGATCTGCATTAACTTAATATTTCGATGCACTCAATGCACTATCCATCTCTACGGTGACCGTCTGTACACGCCCACGCGCCAAAATGAGAACATATGTCTTGAAATATTATATATATATAAATAACTTATACAAAATATTAGCATAACAATATAATTAATAAATCTACATAAATAAAATATATAGGCCTATATTTCACGATTTGATACTAACATTTTTTGTTATTATGTATACATTATTAATTTTGAAATGTCCAGCGATAAATTACAATATAATTTTCACTCGAATAATAAATATGAAAATAAAATTGTGTAAAGTATAGATATAGGCCTATGTAGCGATATCTAGAATTTCCAGGTGTTACCAGAGCACTATTTTTATTGTTGCTAACAACTATACCCGTTCCTAACAATACTCCTATATAATATAATTAATATAAAAAAACGTATCTACGTTTTCGTCGACAAAGCATGACCATATGTGGTACTGTAAACATAGAAATCGTGTGACGTTGCAAAGGTCGCTCTGACGTCAATACGTACGTTCTCTTTGTTCAGAATGGTAGATTCCGTTTGAAAATATTTCTAGTATACTAAGAATTAAAATGTTTTATTAAATTTTAAATTTACTAATAAATTACAATAAATTCGTTTTATATGCGTTGGTAAATATCTGTGAGTTGACTTTTATATAAATATCGAATAATATTAATGCGAGCCTGCTGAAAAATTCTGGAAACCCCTTCTTAAATCATGGAACAATCGGTCAGGTGACGTAATTCTATTTTTAACCGTCCGTCGCTTGTGCTCGAAGACTATAATATCAATGGCGGTGTGGGATACACCAGTCATAGAGAGTGAGTCATCGTAGAATCAGTAACGAAGTGAACAAACTAGGAGGAATCCCTAACGGAAGTTTCTTTGATTACGACAGGAAAAAAAATCGGAAGGAGGTTTTCGTGTACATGTACCCACAGACAACAATAATTTCACCTTCTCTCTTCGGAATGCCGCACAACGTTGAGCACACACTAACTAACACAATGGCCAATGGCGTCGTTACAACAAGTAGTAGCAGCAGTGTGGAGGTAAGTCTTGTAGTTATTAACTGAATTCCAACATTTGTGTGCGATTTCGTGATTTTCGTGGAATCCCGGGCTCACGTCAATGACCTTCAAAGTATGTGGCTTCCGGAATGGGTCTTTAAAATGTGGAAGTGAAAGCAAAAACGGAAGAAGATTTTAGAGGATTTAGGCTTTGTGTAATAACATATCGTTTGATTATCGCCTGCTCCATTTTTACTGCCGATCTTCACTGGTTGGTTATGCGATCGTGATGTACAGGAAGTTGGGAGAGCGCAAACCGTCTTGCGTTTTATTTCTCACTCTGTGAAAAAGTAAAAAGTCGTAAAGTGTACTTAGTTTATCTGGATACTGATGGTAGGCGAGTAATTTTAGTGTCGGATTTGTATTCTACAAAACTTAATGTATTATTGCAAAAATATTACTGATGTGGTTTAAAATTTAGCAATACGTTTTTCAATGTTCAAAAATCACAACTGATGTTCTACAAAGGAATGTATGCACCCCTCGCGAAGGTTGTTAAAGTTGAAGGGGTGAGTTTCGCGGTGCATATATTTGTGCTGATTTTATAATTGTTTTTTACATTTATATGTACTCTTTTATATATTTTCTTATGTTTTTTGCAGGATTATACGGCCTCAGAAGATTTAATGGACATATCAACATTCTCTACTGCCTCGACCCACACGACCCCACCAACAACCCAAAATGCAATCCCAACATCTGTTATCACCCCCACTTCAATGGGTCACTGGGCGATTGCATCCCACGATATGCATGGGGGATTTGTACCACCAGCCATCACTACCACCCCCGGCCACATCCAGACAACTGCCACCCCCCACATTGTAACTGCTAGGAGCCAAGTCCATGGCAGACGATCAACTAACAACAAGAACTTTGCTGTCACTGCCAATGACATCGAGCTTCTTCGCCATTCACCGTCCAACACAAGGAGAAGAATCCGAGATGAAGATGTAAGTTTTTTATTATTGTAGTTATTTTTTTTTTATTGTTATTATTATTATTTGTTTTCTACTATTATATTTTTATAGCTTCTTGGCTTAAAAATTAGGCTTAGGCTTTTATGAATATCAAGAGAATAATGAAAAACAAAACACCAGTTGGTTTTGAATATTTCCATAAATGTCCATCCGAAGTATGTTTCATAAATGTCCATCCGAAGTGTGTTTCATAAATTACTTAATTTGATACCTCTGATGATATTATTTTGGGTGAAATACAAATTATTACACATTAAAAATTATTTAAAGTATAGATTGTTTCATTGAATTTTGTTGAAGTTTGTGCGCTACATGTCTAAATTAGATATGCCAACAGCTTTCCGTTAGGCAAGATTTTAATCTGACTCACATCCCGAGTTTGATACCGTTCAAAGATCAGAACATTTACAAACAGGAACATCATGTTAAATCATTCCCCTCTGAAGTTGGATTTTTTTTAACAACACATACAGTGTTCATGATATAAAATACAGGCCTTATTGTAAGGCTGTTTATTCACTACCTGCAATATTCTACCAAGTTCTTTTGTGAAATACAGTATTCAAATTGCCCACTGTGGCCTTGAACAGATCTAGAGTGTTTTTAAAAAGTAGTGACCTGTTTGGCTAATAAACCACTCAAATAGCTTAGTTAAATCATAACCAACGGAAGTTCTTTGTACAGTTTAGTGTTGTTGTTTTCATGAAGGTACTATTGAAAATAATAACTCAGTGGTTATTGTATTTAATTCAATGAGCATTGTATAAAAATAATGGAAATGTTTGTTTTGTTTATACTGTATAATAAAAGTCTGTTAAAGTAATTATTTTCTGTTCCATTTCTACAGTTATCCAAAGATGAACGAGACAAAAGAAAGGTGCGCAGAGAGAGAAACAAGGTTGCTGCCGCAAAATGTAGACAGAGACGAGTAGACCATACCAACTATCTTGTGCAGGTAAATTTATACCGCTATTTATTACTGTAACAATTTAATTGTTTTCCTTGATCATTTTATTGCCTGTAATAAAAAAATGTACTCCATCAGAAACTACAAAAAGACATACAGTTTTAAAATAGTTGATATCAACTTTGATTTTGTAGGAAACGGAAGAATGGGAGGAATCAAATGCCACTTTGGAACAGGAGATCTCCAAACTACAGCAACAGAAAGAACAGCTGGAGTTCATTCTTGAAGCACACAGAGCCATGTGCAAAATTAACAAAAGCGCAAAAGAGGATGCCGAATTGGCGCCTACTTCACGCACCATTACGACCAGCAGCTTGGAGACGCCGACCACCGAGATCGTCACGCCCACGGCTTCAGTTTTTAGCTTCAGCGAAACATGCGCTACGAATACAGTCAGCAATGGAGTCATCAGTCCAACCTGTGGTTCTGAGATGATCAAGGTTGAATCGAGCAGCGGCAGCGAAATGTCAAGCCCAGACACCAGCAGAACACTCCTTCAGTTATAGACTTCTGTCTACATCTTCGTAAAAAAATCCCACAAAGTGCAAATGTACGTGGAATGTATTCGTGAAACTTAAATGTTTCGCTGCAACATTCTACTGATGAACACTTTATTTATTACGTTGTCTGGACAATTAAAGTACTGTAGTCACGATTTTTGTATTCTTCATCGGAAATTGATCCTAGATTTAAATGCACTGTATATTTGTGACTTCAATCAAAATTTGATAATGAAGTCTATATAGAGGGGATCTTACGGGTACAAGATAAACTAAAATGCTAGAAAGTCCTAATCACTTTGATTCTGTGAACATAATGTATGTGTGTGTTAAGATTTTATTTTAATCGGAAGCATTTTGAAGTGTTTTTGCCTTTTTATTTTTGCATGTGCAATATTCAGATTGTATGCTATGATTAAAAAAAACGAACAGTAGAGCATGTTGGTAATATGTTAACAAGAGTTGCATATTTTGTTTGTAGTTAAGCCTAGTGGGTGTAAGTGTGTGTATATAGACCAGGTAGATAAAATGATGTATTTTATTGGGAATTGTGCTTTCAATGTAAGTTAATTTATTCAGTTTGTCAACCTTGACTCTATAGTTTTAAGTAGGAAACATGATTCATGCTTACTCATCTTGATGTTCAACAATTTTACTGTGTTCTCTTTTCTCTTAAGATGGAAAAGGTGATGTCATATCTTTTCATCTTTCAATAATCAAATTAATGCCGAAAATAGATATTACGTCATTCTAAGAAATCGAAGGACGTTAACCGTTAACCTTTGGCATGTGAAACCTAGTCCCTGATTTGTCACTCACAAGTTAAATACGAAATTCGAAATTGGATGGCTATGTTTATGATTGTATATGTTTATTATTGTAGTAAAGTTAGTCTATTTATTATATTATAAAGTTGATTAATAAAACACTAGCGTCTTCGTTATTTTGCCTTACCAGACCACTGCCTTTAATATTTATATCATGTTTTAGTCTGTGTATGTAACAGTTGATGGTACCGATGTGTTTAAGATGTTTGCTGTCATGATATTTAAGTAACATATTTTTAACCGAAATTGGCCCTTTACCAAAGATTACCTAATCCAAAGGCCATTCATGTAGCAAGCAAAAAAAAAAAACAAACAAACTGTATCACTGGTCAAGGGTATAATAATTAACTTTTATACATCTACGCCTTGTTATTTAATTACATATTTACTGATATCCATCCATAAATTATTTGATGCATTTTTGCTCTGATGCAAGACGTTTGTCAGTAATATTTCGTGTTGGTGTTTATTACCTTTTTTTTGAATAGCACTAAGACTTTGTTCGAATATTTTGTAGAATTTCAATATGCCTAAGTGATATTAAGATATCAATGTCCTTGCAGTTAACACTGCTAATTAGGATATTTATATTGCTAAGTATTCTGGTATGCCATTATTAAAAACAAAATATTTAAGATGTGTATGAAACCATAAACCATATTAATGCTATGCGATTCCGAACAAACGCCAAGATGCTTAGGCCTGTTAAATACTGTACTGAAAAGGGTTTTCTTTTCTTTCTCTCTGTATTAATATTCATAAATGTATTTCATACAGGGAATGAATAAATGTTTCTGTTCCTTTTGAGGAACTAAAAGGATCTTGCGTTGTTAGTATGTTATTTATCACGTGCATGCGGCATACTTCAGGCAGGGAGATATAAACCTCCCTGCTTTAGGGGTCCCGAGTTCGAGAGACAATTGTGAGAGATAACTATTTTCCGGGAGGGAAGACCTTCCCGATTTTCGGGGAGAACCCCAGCTACTTGCTAGAGACTAGGAACCCCTGCATAATTTCGGCAAATTTACAGTAGATAGTATACAATTGAAGCTGCACTCGTCTTCGTCGTCGTCAGACCAAAACGCTACGTTGCAGTGGCATTGGGAAACAAGGGTTTTTTTTTTTTGTTTTTTTTGTTTAGCACAGTACAGTATAAAGCCTAGACCTAATTCTATGGGTTAATTGTCAACCACAACTCATGCTTTGTGGTATTGTGGTTATTATGGTACGGTAACCAATCTATGGCTTGGTCAAATTTATTGCTTGAAAAGTAGCATTTGAAAGAACAATATTTGGACTCATCCAAATAAATTATGACCTTTATATTCGAGATTTTTGTCAGTCGGGTTGGACACCAAAAAAGATTTAAGATTTTTTTTTTTTTTTTTTTGTGCGGTTTTTTTTTTTTCATTCTTAAACTACACATTTTTATATAATAACCAGTAAATGTTTGCCCAGGCTCAGTGTTATATTTTTTTCCAATTTCAATCTGAAAATGTTCCTATTTTATTGAGGGGGGAAATATGTAGGCCTATTTCAGCATTTTGTGTCGTTCCCTGGTGGAACCTCGGGAATGCATCGCATCTGATGACATTTATGGAGTAGATACAATGTTGGTGAATATTAAACCTTATTACTTTACTGTTCTTTAAGTTTTCTTTTAAATTGAAACTTCATTTGACATTTTACCTCAGCCTCAATTCATATTTTTGAAGCAATTTCAGCCTCTGTGTTCTTATAAAATATATAAAAAAGTATATACATGTAACGGTGACTGTGAAAAGCTAACGTGAAAAAATGATTAAATATACTTTCTGCTTACTTTATAATATATCAGCGTTAATTTTAAAACTGGTTAAAAAAATTCCTCGTTATTGACCTAAATGTGACCTGTTCCTATGCAGTATTCTTTATAGAGACAATTTCAAATATTTACTGCAACTAAAAAAAAATATATATAAAATAATTTTAATTTTTATTTTCAGTGATTTGCTCCCAAGACCTTGACGGCCCTGGAAGAGCCCTTGTGGGTCCGAATGGGTTTCATGAAGTTATAGGGAAGATGGGCGTAATGATATTTGAAACAAAAAATATATGACTAATTTAGGCCTATGCCCTACTGTACTCTAAAACAACAGAATATTTTACTTTTACTTGCCTATTATATTAAACACATGACAGAATAGAATTAATTTTTTTGACCGGTGCCTTCAAACATATTCCGTAAAGATTTAATCACCCCCAAGTTCTGAAACTTCCAACTGATTAGGAACGCCTTAGGCCTAATGTTAGTGTTTTTGCGGTGTTTTTGATGATTTTAAGAGTTAATTACATTCCCAGTCTTTTATTAAATTTTTTTAAACATTTAGGCTATGGAAGGGTCGCACGCACCCAATCCACCACCGAATATGAAAAGATAAAACATTTACTCAATAAAAACAATATTATTAAAAATAGATCTCTACCGTTACGGCCGTAAAATTCCACAGTAATGGTATTTGACGACCCCGTCGGATTTTAAGTGACTCCCATGCCCCAGAATCAGGTCTATTTTCGATCCACCTGCAATACTTTTCCTGTCCGCAAACCACCTCCTCTGCGAAACACCACCCCCTCCCCATACTGGATGCGGACCTGCTGTGATGAGGGTTTGAACTAATGGACATAATGAATTGTTTACAAGCTGTACAAACCTTTCAGGGGATGTGCCTTTACAATAATATCAATGATTACTATGGCTAGAGGTCACCTCCAGAGGCCTACTCGGACAACTCGTGACTATTAATCATCTAACAGTAAATTTCCATGGCGTTTCTACAGTATACTTATACTGTCGTTAGCCAATCAAAAACGAATGGTTATCCCCATCATAGTTCATGGCGAGAAATAAATGAATTGCGGGTTGAATTTTAATACATATACAGTAATATATTACAGTATTACTTTATCTATGATTTAAACGCAACACTAAACAGCATCGCGTTGTACGATATCATCATAGAGGGCGACAGACCATTATTTTTAGTTAGGCTACTTATATTCGCCTATGAATAAAGTAATGGTGTGATTTTGCAGATACAAGGGGAATTTATCTTAATAGATTTTTAGGTGGTTTCTTTTTCAATCAAAATGATCGAAAATTGTACCTAAATAAATGGTTTATGATATAATATCGGTGACGGATCCAGGAATTCAAAATAGAGGGGTTTGGGTGAGGACCCCTCACCGTTTATTATGTTATATTTATGTATATAGATGAAAGTCTAAACAACCTCAGCCCCACCATTTGGGGCGGAAGTTCGAAATTTTATGCTATGGTACCCCTGGGTTGCCGGAAATTGCATTCTCAGACTTAAACATGAATAATTATAATTTAACTTTTTTTTATGTCCTAAAATTCCATATGGTCACACAATATACTTTAAAAAAAAAGAACACATCTTATAAGAAAACCGAGGCTGAAATTGCTTAAAAAATAAAAACAAAATAAGAACAAAAAATGAGGCTGACGTGAAATGTCAAATGAGGATTTTATTAAAAAAAAAACCACTAGAAAAACTAACAAATCAAACTATTCACATACAGTACATATACAGATTGCAAAATTCTCTTATCCGTACCTTATGTGCAGCATGTGTGACTATGTATTATGTATTACTCTGTATAATAGAGTACAATAATATGCAGAAAAAAATAAAACACTGAGCCTGCGCAAAGGTTGACTGGTTCTTATTTAAAAAAAAAACCCAAAAGTGCTAAAAAATTGAAATACAATAGCCCCACATCTATACTACGGTGTTAACCGACTGGAGACGGGGTAGGGTGAAAGAAAAGAAGAGGAGGGGGAACTCTTCTGACCCCCACTGACGCCATTAATACTAATGATAATAATAACATTAATAATATTTATAATGAAAAACTATTTCCATAAAAATCCTAAAAATATGATGTATTGGTAGCAAAACAACAACAACAACCACCACACTAGAATATCACTAATTGTTAATATTTTTATTCTAGCTGGTTGTAATTTATTCCAATACTTGGAATTGCTAATCACTATTATTATCATTATTAATAATGCTTCGATGATGATAATAATAATAATAATAATAATAACAATAACAATAATAATAATATAGTTTTACCACAGGGGTTGTTCCAGTACACCGGGGTATCCCCCTACTCGTCTCGAAGGATATACTGGGTTCTTTATAGTGCACACGAGCCATTGTATACACTGGGCCTACGGTTTATAGTCCTTATCCGAGAAGACTTGTTCTACCACAGAACCATAGGCGAGTGTGCCGTTCGAACCACTGCCGATTATGGCTATAGCTTGCGGCGCCCCTGCTAACCGCTCGGCCATTCGACAGTAAATACAAGTAAGAATAATAATTAGGCAATCGTAAGCTAATAATAGCTAGTATTAATGATCAATTAATCAATCAATCAATTAATCAATCAATCAATCAATCAATCAATCAATCAATCAATTAGTTTATCAATTAATAATAATAATAATTTATATTTATATAGCCACATTGCGCAGTGCCTCTATGTGCTTTACATAAAATTATAAAACAAAAACACTTTGTACAATCAATCAATCAATCAATCAATCAATCAATCAATCAATCAATCAATCAATCAATCAATCAATCAATCAATCAATCAATCAATCAATCAATCAATCAATCAATCAACCAACCAATCAACCAACCAACCAACCAATCAATCAATCAATCAATCAATCAATCAATCAAAATAACGTGTATGCTTTACAGAAAAGGTATGATTTTAGCTACTTTTTGAAAATGGTGACATTTATGGCATGCAGTAATGATGATAATAATAATTATTATTATTATAACAATAATAATCATAAGCAATAACAATAACTAGCACTATATAATATTACTGATAATAATGAGGATAAGCATAATAATAATGATCATAATAATTAATAATAATATTACTATTATTAATTATTATCATTTATTACAATATAATATTATATAATAATGTATTTACGTGTACTCTAATTTTTTTGTTGTTAATAATAAATTTAATTATATACAAAATTAACAATCATCAGCTAATAAGAGGGCCTACAATTTACAAGAAATAAGAATGATAACAATGGTATTATGGAGTCTAATAGGCCTAACTATAAATAGTCTAATATTAATATTTAGAATATAGGGTGCACTCCAATGTCCTATGCCGAGTGAAAATTCACTCTATTTGAATGAGCCCGTGTTTTCTCTTTTAGAACGCATTTACATTTAAAGAATATAATAATTATAATATTTCTGTGGTAATTTTTCGATTAAGGCATATTTCATACAAGAAGAATATAAACTTTATTATAGAATTATGAAGCAATGAATCAGATATTCAAAATATAGCCTAAATAATCTAGTAATAATATAACATATTCCTGCATAAATACAATCATAGAGGTATTTATTTTACCTCCATGGTACAACTTATTACGCAATTACTATTTTGTTATTTATAAACACAATTTTGGCCTATAATTCTACCAAAAATCCCCAGCACGTATTTAAATAAAGAGAATAATAAACAACTCACGTGTGTCTCAATGTTAAATAAAAGAGTGGATTTAATTAAATCGTGATTCAGATTGGGGAACTGCGATGTGTCCGGTAAAAGAAAAATTAGCGTGAGTGTTGTATTATACTGCATGTGCGTGGGGGAATAATATTGGAGACTAAATTTCAGTAGTCGTTTTTTTATGGCTACAAAATGACAATGCTGATCACACCATGAAGATATTATTATTATTAATAATAGTGATATTAAACCATTATATATATTTTTATACCTCCTTGATTATGTATTCAATAATACAAATTCATTCTTTGAAACATTCAGAAAATTGCTGACAAGCACGAAACACAAACAATAACACAGCGTACGCAGTGAGAAAAGGCTGTAAAGCGCATGCGCCTAAATTTCTTACTGTTGTGTTGTGCAATACTACGTCACTATTGTAAAGCAATCAAGCGTGTAGTAGTCTTTCCTCTGATTGGTTAAAACACGTGGCGAAATTCAAGTCATCACTCAATCAATCAGTACGCATGCGCATAATGACGTATTGCTCTAAAAATAAACATAAGCGCCGCTGATGTATAAAAGGTCGGATTTCATGGCAGAAAATAAACACTGTGATTGGGTTGTTGATCGTACAGTTGGACCGTATTATATTTCTACATTTGATTGTTTGTCGGAAACGCGTGAACTTCTATTTTTGGTCTAAAATAGGCAGATTAATTGTGAGTAGATACTGGTAGATACATTTGCAATTCTGGACATTACCCCGGCAAGTTCAGACTTGATGTACAAGGCAGCTACTATCGGTAATATCATGCACTAACAAACGTTTGCAGATCGTTTGGAACTTGGGACCAACAATCAAGAAATACAATTTGTGCAAGGTATGTAAATATTATTATCTTCATGCAACAATAATAATCTAATTATCAGTATCGCATTAGTGGCTCTATTTACTTAACCCGTTATATACTGTTAGTAGGCCTATAGCCTACATGATGCCGTTAGTTTTACTGTTAGACTTACTGAGCAATCCTTCAATTTCAGGGGTATAAATTATTGCATCTTATATAATAAATATGCCTAGACCTAATTACCTACGCCTGGGCGTATCATTTAGGGTATAAAAAGTGACGAATTATCCCAACTGGGGGTTGGGATCGCTGATAGAGAGTGGTGAATTTCTAACATGTGGCAATCCCCGGGTAAGGGAACTATATTCCCAGGGGTAATGAACCTTCTACCACCATGTGTGTGGAATTTTCCATTAGGTTGGTCCCCAGGAATGTGAAAATTTCCATTTGGGAGAAATTTTCCAGAAGGTGTTACAGTAGTATTAGTAGTACTGTACGTAATCTCGCAGGGTGAGTAATTCTGTCCTAGGGATGGGGAATTTTATAAGAAAAAAAAGGTTGAATATTAAGGAATTTTTCCACTATTGTATGAGATACCAATTACTTCATTATTATTGATACAATCCCACAGCCTCAAAGTTGCTGTTGAGTTGTTATCACAGGAGCTCAGTAGTCTACGGAATTGCATTTCATATGTTGATTTTGCTAGTCCAACCTTTATTTATATTTATGATGTACGTTTGATATGTCTGCAATAAAGTTGAAAGAATGTATATAAAATAAAATGTTTTTGCTTGCTTTCTAGAATGGGGATCCATATCAAACCATCAGCTGCATCACCCGTTGCTGAAGAGGCTCAGGATATTCAATTTACAGTTGTGACGGATCCTAGTCCCAACGCTAGCCTGTTTACATTCGATTCCATCACAAATGTACTAACTTTATCTGCAGGCGCAGCCGAACAACTGCAGTTACATGAGTGTGAATCAACCATCGAGATGGGCCAGATTGCTAGTCCTAATTCAGACTTTACGGGGTCAGTAACGGACGGTGAGATGACTCCTTGCTCGTCGGTATCTGGTCAGGATTCAGAGTATGATCCGAACAATTTAACATTGGACAAAGATGGTCAAGTATTTGATTTCGATTTGTTATCAGTAATAAAGGAGGAATTGAAGTGGAAAATACAATCTCAACGATTGGCTAAGGGGCAGGAAGTGTTGACTGTTGAAGAACGGAAAATTCAAGAAGACAAGGTAGGTCATGATTAATATTACAATAGATATGATTAAATAATTCAGGTGGTAACAATCCTAACTAATAATGATAATGAAAAAAGATACTTATATTACTACTATAATAATAATAATAATAATAATAATAATAATAATAATAATATAATGAATAAACAGCAACAATAAGAAAATGATGAACATTGAATATAATGTTGATAAAAAATATATGAAGAACATAAATAATATTGTTTGATATTAGTATTTATAAAATTATTAGATGACAATGTAAGTTTCACAATAATTTAATAACAATTATACACAATTTATTGACATCGATCCTTGAAAAAAAATTTTTATTTAAATAATTACATTAATTTAATGTATATTATTAATCTTACAGCTGACGGAAGAGGAAGAGGCCAAGCGCGCCGACAGGCGCAGACGTAACAAGATTGCCGCGGCAAAATGTCGTACGAAAAAGAGGGACAGATCAAAGATTTTATCGGAGGTAAGAATTTATTAAGTTTATATTAGAAATGTATTTCGGTAATAAAACAATGCTGTATTATTATTATTATCTCGTATGTTTAAATATTGTTTAAAATTGGCAGTTGGTAATGCTGTATGATATTTTATAAATCTAACATAATATCAGTGGTGTTGACGGTTAGGTTACTCGCTTTCGAATCCTAGAGTCCCGAGTTAAAATCCTGTAAACA